GGGGGGGGGGGGGGGGGGGGGGGGGGGGGGGGGGGGGGGGGGGGGGGCGCACTGATGTCATGCCGTACGTTAGAAGACCGTCGACGAAACGTGCTCGAAAGGACACAGCATTGGGGGGGGATTTTCGCGAACGGTGAAAGAAAGTCGTGTACGTGGCCGATTCATTTCATTCAAACCAAGCATGAAACGATCGTTTGAAAACAGATGGATCCAAACACGCACACAATCCGTCGGGCGGGGGGACAAGAAAGAGTCTTGGAGATGTTCCGCTACAAGACTGACCGACTTTCATTGGTCAGCCAGGCATCAAGTGAGGCGGCTGATACAATGAAAATCAATAATCTCACATTCGAGGAACAAAAAAAACATAAGGACGACCGAAAAAAAACAAACGGTGGTCATTAGAGGCCTCGAAAGCCAAGGGGCAATTGAATGGTACGGATATTTCATGGTTCAACAGGAAGACGCCGCGTACCTGTCTTTTCCCGTTGCCTCACCCCGACCGTTGCCGCTGCATGTAACTTGATATCTGGGTCAGGGGTCGGCACAAAAAACAAAAACACACCATGGTTTGTTCGGACTGCATCGTTAGTCAAATCACAGAGAGAAATGAGGGCAACAACAGAACGTGCGCGGCGTGGTAAGCACCGCAGGGCGAGGATAGGCTCCAGAAAATGAGTGGCATTCTCCTCTTGATCCAACGGGATCGGGTGTTGATACGAGGAGGCGTTTGTTGTTGTTCACCCTACTCGTTTCTCAAAGCAAGGAAACAAGCACAGGGCAATCAAATTCGTCCTATAGTGAGGAATAGCGAGCACAAAGGACGTAGGTATGCTCGACTACTGTTGAGAACGTAGCATACCTGGCCCTCAATGACGAAACTAAGGCTCCCACCTCATTGCGTACTTTCTCCTTGCCCCTAACACATACATACGCACCTAGTTCATGTGTTGCTTACCACATGATTTCATGCTTTTGGGTCAAATGCGGGCTAGCTGTACAATCACAAGACTGCATCAGAGAGCCTTGAACAACAAGAAGAAGGGCAAGATCACACACCAATCCAACAGGTGTTGGGCAAGGAAAGGCAAGGACCGGCACCTGGCGCTACTCCTGGTCCTGCCACCGGCATTGTCGTCGTCGTCCTCGTCGTCGTTGTCCTTCGCCTTGGCGGAAAGCATGCCTCCGACGGCTTTGGACATGCCCACCCCGGCGGCGAGATTGAAGAGCGGCAGCGCCGGGAATACGAACCTCAGCTCCTGCGGCGACGCGACGAACTGGCACATAAGCTACAGGATAAAAATGTACCTGGTGCTCAACATAATCGATTTCGCTCAGCAAAAATGAACGGGGAGTCGAAACTCAATGATAACCCAACGTGCTCGACCAGTCGTGATATTCTTGCACTAGACAGAGACAGATCAACAGGGGCTGAGGTAGGCAGCTAGCCAGCAGGAGGTAGACAGCGAGCAATTGGGCCTACCTTGTGCGGCAGCGCCGAATATAGGGCCACCATGGCTACCCCGGGCAGGAGGTACGAAAAGACCTGCAGGCGGCGAGGAAAGCAACGCCGCAGAAGAGACGCAATTAAGGGACGTAAGACCACGACCACATAAACAACGCTTCTGACGTTACAAAAAAAAAAATGAGCGTCGCCGGGAAACAGCAGCAACACCGGAGTGAAGGGGTGAGCTTGGCGCATCGGGGTGGAGGAATATGGTACGAGATCCCGCAACAGCAGTGCCGGTCTTCTTACAGTACTGCACGTCCAATTTCCAACTGCTGTACCAGAACAGCCTAGGTGCTAGGTTCACCGCGACACGCCTCCTCAATACCGGTCAAAATACTGCATAATGACACAAACGGTCAAAGCTAGAAGTAGCGGCAGACGCGATCACGACCAACCGCCTAATGCCTATATGCCTACTTCTTCCACCTGCTTGCTTCAAGCGCAGACGATAAGAATACAAAAAACTTGCCTGGGAGTCGATAATGGCCTCCACTTCTGCGGGTCGGCGCAACAGCTGGAGGGGTCGCGAAGGGTCTCTGAGCAGGCCGATCGGTATGAGCAGGGCCGTTCCCGAGAGTGCTCGCGGAAGTGCGGAAACAAAGTACCTAAGGACGAATAGAGGTGCAGGGGTGGTGGTGCGGAAAGAGAGAACTTTTTGATTGTAAGGGAAAAAGAGGTACAGGGGCGGTATTGCGGACAGGAAGAAGGAGCGGGAGATGTAGAGCGAGGACAACAAGAAGGTACTTCTGTAGAATTCTCCGTCTCACCAGAAGACCGGCATTTCTCCCCACTCCGAACTCCGGTTGGCCACCGTGTTGAAGAGCAGTACCTGGCTCTCCGGCCACACCCACCTGAAAAAAAAAAACGAGATGTCGATCATCGTTCGCCCGTTAGTCGAACACAAAAGACACTTTCCTAACGACCCGAAGACTGCCTTTTCTGGGTCCTCCGGGCTGCTAGAGATACCAATCACCACGTCTAGCTTGTGTGTTCCGTGTCACGGTCATGGCTGCCGAACAGCTTCTGCACCTTTCGCACTGCCTTACCATCACCAGCGCGCCATGTTAGCAAATTGGCAATGCTCTCCTCGAATTTCGAAGGCCATCCTCCAAACGTGTTTCACATTCTGCAGCCAGACGAAAGTCACCCCCCAAACCCCGTCTCACCTTCCCCAGAGCGCCGAGTCCAGCAGGAAGGAGACCACCAGAGACGGAATGCCCCACTTGAGTCCGGCCGTGATCACTTCCAAGGGACGGACCCGCCTGAACGAAGAAAAGAAGACGCAAAAGAGATACGAAAGGGGCGGGGCTGTACTCAATAAAAAGCATGCCTTAGTCCATAGACCATTGACTTCCCATCCCTACGATGCCCGAACGGACGCCATTCCGGATTTTCCCCCGCCCCAGGCCACGTTTCACCAGAACGAATCAGAAGCTGGTCATCATCCGAATACGTCGAGAGGAGGGGGGGGGCGCGTGTAGAACCGATCATCAGGAGGTGAACGAGGGGGTACCCCCAGAAACTACATTGTAAGACGAAGCCATCTTGGGTAGCATGCATGCACACGCCCTTGGCGTTTGGCGACGAAGCAAGCATTCGAAATAAGTATTTGCCGACTTATCACCAACAAGTGCCTCAAAAGACCGGAGATGAGCTCTCCCCCAACGCGAGGACAAGTTCGCTCACCCCGTCAGCAGGAGCTGCAGCGTCAGGGGCCCAAGCAAGACCACCACATCACACCGGAAGACCAACGTGGCCACGGTGAACAGACCCAGGGCCCGAGGCAAGTTGTCTCGCAGCCAAGCCTGCATGCCGTGGTACGTATGATGAGGATATTAAGAATGGGAAAGAAGCAGGCTGGAGGTTCGCTCGGGAAAAGAACGAAAAAAATTAGTTTGGGGAACTTGTCCGCAAGCAACTACTTTGGGGGTAAGGAACACGGTGACCGCTCGTGCTTGCCGTTGACGACCACACAAACAACTGTCATGTATCAAAGGCCCGAAATCGTTGCCTGTCAATTAAGCTGCTGCCGCTGTGGTTGCGCCCATTTACTGGGGCGTCACAGTAAAAACTCCAGCAACTGCAATGACAGCCGTAGCAGCAGCAGCAACAGCAGCAACAGCAGCACTAGCATTAGCATTAGCAGACGGCAACGACAACAAATGCGACAACCACATTAACAACAAACAACAACAACAACATCAACAGTAACAGTACCACGACAACAACAACAGCAACAGCAACGGCAACACCTGCATTTAGGCTAACACGAGGAGCAAGACACACCTGCAGCGCTAGCAGGACGACGCACAGCGCGAACACGTTGGGCAGGGTGCGGCTCATGTAGAACGGCAGGTGGAACTGGAGGGCCCACACCCCCGCCGCCCACCCGGCCGGAGCATCCCCGAACCGAAATGCCACCGCGGAGTTGAAACGACGGAACGCTAGCCAGCACAGAAGCCCCAGGGCTAGGCGGGCAGCAACCTGCATGTTCGTTTGTTGCCGCCGAGGCGAAAGTCAAACCGCCATCGACACCTTCGTTGACTTTGGAGCGGGTTTTGCCCGCCGCTACCTTGGATTGAAAGAAAACACGCACAAAAAAGCATTGACAAGAACCATGAGGGCACACCTGGGAGGCCAGCCTGGTGGAAAGGTCCGCGAAAAACGCCTCCACGGCAGCGTGAAACGGCGAGGAAACGGCGGCGACGACGGCGGCTCCCAGGAACGTTCTGGGGACCACTCCTGGGAAATCGTTGTGGTCGTAGGATGCCAGGTCTTGGCGGTGCACCAGCAGGTCGTGGATTGCCTTCAGCAAAAGAAAAAAAAGAAGCGTGAGAAGGATGCAAGTTTGGCTGCGTCCATGCGATAAGAGGCACAAAGGTCGGAGAAAAGCTTTTTGGGTGGTTCAAAGCGAGGCGGTTTTGTTTCGAATCGGCCAAGCCTCCCGAGTCGACAATAAAACCACATCGGGGTCACTGACAGCAGCTCCAGGGGAACTTCCATTGGAAACTATCTCGTGGACAACGATCCCTTCAAACCAGGACATAGCATTTTCCACAACTGAGACAAAGGTCAAGCGCACCAAAAAACTGCATCACATCATTCCTTTTGGCGTGTTGGCCAAACAGGAGGTCAACCGACTGATCCGTGTGAGTGGTGGATGGTGTGCATGTTCCCGACGACTGTAGGATCCTGTTGAGCGTTAGTCTATAGGTTTTGGTGTGGTCGAGCATCAGTCATTCATCCACACATGTTTGCCCAATGTGTGCAACACTGATGAATGGTTGGGTCCTGCGCAGATGTCATACATGTGTGTTTGGCAGGCAGCAGGACCACCAATTGCTCATGAGCTGATACTTGTGTAAAGACGCCGACGGACACTATCGTGATCTTTTCAAGGACCCACATCATCAGTGACAGCGGCGTGCGTGGAACAACGACAGGACGATGGCAATTAATCATGAAGACCGTCAGATACGGGGGTACGGGGCGACTGGGATGGTCGGAAGTCGCGTGGGCAGCGAGGTTGGGGAAGCAGGCGGCTTTGGGAAACACGTCGAAGACGATCCAACTGAAATTCCTCTCAATTGCACGCGGCAGCCACAGCTGGTTCATTTGTCTTAAATCTCGATTCCTTGCGGTTCCTGCCTTGTCGGCATTTGTTACAGACGGATGCGACATATTTGGCGGTACAGTAGTGGGCCCCCTATAGTGCACTTTGAATAGTGCAACCGCCCTCAATAGTGCAGGCAACATCTCTGCGCGCAGACGGCGCCCTAAATAGTGCAGGATCTGCACTATTGAGGCATATACCCGATATAGTGCAGGTTGGGCACCGCGGTGCCCCGCAATAGTGCAGGTGGAGAAACATTCACACACACACACACACGCGATCAAGAGAAAAACAAGACACACACTCACGAACAGCGGATAGACGCAACACAAACGCGGCGCGCGTGCTGCTGCAGACCCGAAGAGCTGTACGCAGCGCAGAGGCGCACCATGCCTTGTGCGGACGGTGAGCTGTGCCACCAACCAGACAAGACGCCGCAAGCCCCTTATGGCCACGTCTGTCATGGAGGATGTAGCGGGCGGCTCCACGGCAACTGCGGCAGCATGGTTGGCGATGGCCACGTCTGTTATGGAGGATGTAGCGGGCGGCTCCACGGCAACTGCGGCAGCATGGTTGGCGATGGCCACGTCTGTTATGGAGGATGTAGCGGGCGGCTCCACGGCAACTGCGGCAGCATGGTTGGCGACATCGAAACAAGGCGAATCTGCTGCTCGTGCGTCGCAAGAGCTGGCAAGCGCAAAGAGATACCAGCTGAGGGTGCTGAGGGTGCTGGGGCGGGACCATCTCAACGCCCGACGAAGAAGAAATTTCTTCCGGCTGCGATGAGGAAGATGAAACGGAAGATGGCGGTGGCGGTGAGAACACGGGGCGCGAGCGCCGTGCTCCACCGGCTTATAGTGAGCTGTCACCTCACTTCGGCGTCCTGGAATCGGCAGCAGATGAGAGTGGCAATGGAGACGCGGCGTTCCATCTGCAGAAAAAAACAATGGCGATGATCGCAGCGCATGCCGCTAAGCGGGTGCGCCAGGCAGACATGAGAGAGTTTGTCGAGACGTAGTGAAGGCGGCGGGTGTACGTGGTTGTTTTCTTTTCCTTGCAGTCAGCTTCCTATGCGCCTTTCTCGTTTCTTTTTGTTTCTTTTCCCGCACCATCGCAGCGGGTGCGCCGGGCAGTCATAAGGGAGTTTGTCACGACGTTAGTAAGGGTGCGGGGTGCATGCTTGCTTGATTTTTCTTTGCAGTGACCTTCCTGCATGTTTTTCTCTCTTTTTTACTTGTGTTTTTTTTTCTTGCAACATAGCAGCCGGTGCGGCAGGGGTCAGATAAATTGGCACGACGGAGTGAGGTTGCGCCTGGCTGGTTGTGTGTGTGTT